GGGGGGGGGGGGGGGGGGGGGGGGGGGGGGGGGGGGGGGGGGGGGGGGGGAGGGTCGTTTTCCGTGTTTCCGCTTCGGTGTTTCTTCTGTGCAAAAGTATTAGACGAAAAAACCCGTGTCAATGAGTAGGTGCTGTAACGTTTTGGTAAAACTAAAACACGGACCAATTTGAGTGTATTTTCAGCAGTCAAAAATTCTTTCTTTGGTATTAACGCTTCCTTTGCCACTGCGCTGAGAGCGTTATTATACACTGCCATTGTTGAAGCCGAAACTCGGCCGCGTTCATATAATATCTGAAGAAAAATAGCCTCACATATTTTATCAAAAAATAAATACAATTTTCGCTCAGGATTTATCAGCAGATTGCAAAACACTTCTTATGTAATATTCTGTCCTTCACTAGCTGTGAAGAACATTACTGAAGTGTGGATCAAGAACATTACTGAAGTGTTGTGAAGAGAAAAACAGTGAGGAGCCGAATCGTTGTCGATGAAAAACGGTGACCATAAAAGTCTCGAGCCGAAGTCATTGACGGATCCAGGAAGGGCGGGGGGAGGGATCTGACTGGTATCCCCTGTCGTCCCCCTCCCGCCCCAGGAGACTATCCTGAATCAGCTTATGGCTGAAGTACACTCTACTTTCTGCGATAAATAGAGGACTAAAAATTAGCCTGAATAGTGGCATATCGCAAACATTTTGGCTAATGGACCCTTCTTTCAAGGGCTCTTCAGAAGCTAATAGTGGTTTTGAATTGCTGGCGTCACAGTGACTAGAAAATTACTGGCTTTTTATTTTCAAAAAATCTTAGCAAAACCCACCTGCGCCGGCTGGTGATGCGCAAAAAGGGTTCTTAGTGCAGAACGACTGCCACTGTCCGAAAAGCGACCAATCTGAAATCATCCAAACTGAGGAGGAAAAATTACGAAAGAAAACGATATGTTACGATGAAGATAATGACTGTTTTGAAACATACGTAAAATCGGCCAACGGTTGTATCGACGAAACATACGCCATACTCCATGCGATCTGAGCCCTGAAAACAAAAAATACAGGCGAAATCTTGGAAAAACAATTAGTAAAATTAACCAAAAAATCATCCTAGTCGATAATTATGGCCAGGAGAAGGCAGTGTTCATGCATTTTTCCTTGGCTACGCTCAACAAACAGTACACATCGGACCGGTTAAAACTTTGCCAAGTGGTCCGACAGAGAACAGTTACACTAAAAATCCATTCAATGGACAAAACAAAAGCAGGCAGATCAAAAGACGAAGCATAATTAGCCAAAAAATTGCTGGCGGCATAAATCTGGGTGATTAAACAACGAATCAGCAGCTGTTCTAGCAACTAATCGATCACTTTTACTAAAAAAAAAATTTTTTTTTGCAAAACTATGATTTTAACTAACCCTTTCAGCTATAGCATACAGGTAGCGTGCTGTAGAATCCATCAGTTCAATGATTCCTTGCTGATCATTGCCATCAAGAACACCATATGTTCGAGTTCCTGACGTTGCTATATTACACACTTCTCTAAAAAACATCTGGCTAAGAAAAATTTTACAACGAGAAACTACATATTTTACAATCACAGAAGTGTTTTTTTTTCATCAAAACCATTAAAAATTCAATTTTCCTCATACCTCCTCACAACTTTGTCGTTAGCTTTTTCAGCTTTATTCCTGCTCTCCAGCTGAGATGGCGTTTCTGTCTGTTCCACTCGCGCCACCTTGAATCCTCGATTAACCAGCTGATCCGCAAAACGCCCATATGCAACTTCCGGAAAACCGCAATGTGCAAATCCACCCTGAACAAAGAGCAGCAGCAATCTTTGACTGAGATATGTTGAATAATGGGAGCCAACAGAAAGCTATTCGTTATGAAATTTTCCGACTAAATGTGACAAACCCTCATGTAATTGAGGTTCAGGTTCTCCACACCAATCACGGCATCCATATGATACATTTCATAGAATTTGCCAACTTTGAAAAACAAAACTGTATCGAAATAAGCCGATTTGGCTGCCCACCACTGCCGATGCCCTAAAAGACCAATTATTTTCAAACTAATGCATTTCACAGAAGTTTTTACTTCCTCAATAAGCCACCTCATCGTTGTTTGAGAGTGGGAAAATTCAGAACAAGACAGTGGCGCACAATACACACAAAGATCGTCTCAGAATGCCTAAAGCCTTGTCAGTCACCTCTGCCAGGAGAACCCTCACACTAGTAATTCCATTAAGAGGTGATACGAATGTCACGATCACTCGCAAGCTAACCATCCGCTGATGCTGCACTGAACAAAGCAATTCGGAAAAGTCTTCAATTGTACAGCTGGAAAATTACTGGCGACGCACACTCGGTGGGCCCGTGCGATCATGCGTTTTTGCAATATTCCGTGCTGTAATGAGATCGTTTAGAAACCCTAGCTAGAAATTCGGGAAGTTAATTGTCTACGCGGTACTTGGACAGGGAGCATTTCGTTAAAATTTGAGTTTTCCAACTTTTTTGGTTCTTGAGTTAGCAATTTTCATGCCAAAAAATTTCATGGGTCTCTATGTGAGAACCACACGTATCTGGGAGCTGAATTTCATATCTTCAACTTTTGTGGAGGTGTTATGGACATAACCCTAAAACTTCAACCTCCTAGCTTTCCTGGATCCCGAGTTAACCATTTTCTCACCAAGAACCTTCACGGGCCGTATGTGAAAACCACGAATACCTGGGGACTGAATTTGACTCCTGTGTAGACAGGGAACATAACCGCAAAATTTCAGCTTTATAGCTTTTCTAGTTCTCGAGTTAGAGATTTTCCCGCCAAGACTTTCACGCGCTCGTATGCGGGGCCTAGAAGTATGTGAGGGTTGGCATCGAGGGCCACTCCCCGGGGAACTCACTGGTAAAATTTTGGCGCGGGAGCTTGCTCGGGTGTCGAATTGAAATATTCGAACAGATACACACACAGACACACACCGAAGTCTCACAATATGCGTTTCTGCATGTGCATACATGCAAAAACGCATAACTAGTAGCTGCAAAAAAATATGTTCATTTGTTGAAAATTTACCAGCCGCTTCAAAACAGAGTACTGTGGTAAAAATTGATAGGAACGATACCAGGTGTTTGCTTTTTCATGAAACCTTCCGGTACATACAGAGTACGAGGACAATAATCAGGATCGCTGGCCAACCGTCCTTCGGCGTCGCGAATGCGATTCGGCTGCAGGAAATCAAAATCCAGATGCGGAAAACGAGCGCTATCGCTATCATCTTCACCCGCTGCGTCTTCAGTCTCTTCGCGTGGACTACTGGAAGTACTCACTTTCGGTGACGATACGGGTGTATCCTGTAAAATTGTTAATGAGATAAGGAACGGCATCGTAGCCATAACAAAATTCTAGCTATCAGTAAATTATCCTTACGGTGATGACCGAATTAACGAATTTAAATATCAAGCAGTTGTGGCAATGGCAAGAAATGTATACGACTTGATGGGCCAAAACATTCCTTCCCAGCTTGCTAAAATTTCGATTATGATAAATTTCTTTCTTTTCCGGCATTTCCTTTTTTTCCTTTCTTTTTATGCGTTTTGTGCTGTGTAACAGCAGTACAAAACGCATATTGTTACGGGGTTGTCT